ATTACATAGCATTCAATCAAAATGAACAAGGTCTTAATTAAAAAAAAACAAAAATTGGAAGACGACGTAAAGAAGATATTCTAAAAATAATAAAAAAACAAACCAAAAATTCGCCATAAAAATGTTAAATAATATAATTTTTTTTAAAGAATTTTAATTATTACCTTTTTATTACCAATTACAGTTTTTTGTTTGTGTTAATAAATAAATCATAAAAAGTAAACTTCTTAAATTCATTTTTGATCATCATAATTTATGTGTTCGGGGAATTTAACTCTAGTGAAAAACATTGCCTTGTGTAAACAAAAGTTATAGCTAAGACTTAGTGCGTTCTGTTTATAGATAAATATGTTATTGATAGGTATGTATTTCATTGTTGGTGTTTTCATTTTTTTTTTATTTGATTTGCGCAGTATACAATTTCCTCGAGTTTGACAAGTGAGGAACGATAACCGGTTAGCTCATTCTATAATATCTTTTTTATTTTCATTTTTATTTTCGTATTGCCAACTGCTGCAGATGAAGTTTTTCTCTTGTCCCTTTTAATTAGTTCTGTTTTTATTGTATTAATTAAATATGTTTCAGGAGTGGGTCTATCCACGTTTCTTAAATGTGTTCGTGTTTCGGGCTAAGAAATGTACTTGTTAATAAAAAAAGAATATATTTGCATAGATAAGATGTGAATACATTCCCGCCAATGTACGGTAACAAAGAAACCCTGTTTATTCAGTAGATAAACAGATATGATTAATCAAACCGTTAAAAAGGAAAAAAAAAAAAGAAAAACAGAGAAAATGTAGCAAAAAAAAAAGAAAAAAAAAGAAAGAAAAATCAATATCAGCGTTCTATAAATTTTAAAAGACGAAAAAGAAAATTGTCAGTTCGGATTGAATCTTGAGGGTTTTATAAATGCAATATCGACAGAATAAAATCACGGAATTCTTAATCAACACGTCGTTGTTGAACAACGTGACCAAAATTTGCAAATGAATATAAGTTATTTATTTACTTACTTGAAACCACAAGTGTATAAAGAGTTCTCATAATGTTTAGAAGGAAATATATTTCTGAAAAACAAATAAAAAAACAAAAACAAACAAAAAACACGAAAAAACGTGCTTTAAAGAAGAAAGGAAAATTATGCACTTTATGAAAAAAAAAACAAAACAAATTTAAATTCTGCCATAGTTAATGTTTTGAATACCATTCCTCTCATTAATTTCAGTACCTTTTCATTGCAACTACTGAGAGCATATTTTTTCTGCCATTAGTAAATAAAACAATTGAAACGTAAAGAATATGTTCGAAGCTAGACTGGAAATTTGCATCGGGAAGATTTTCTTTGTGAAAGAACTTATCTAAAAAGTGACCTACTAGAACCAACGGTTACCGTTCATCAAAGCTAACCATATAATCTTTTTGCATTTAATCATAAAGAAATCTAAAATTCACATTTATAAACACAGAAGAGGCCTTGGGAATAGAAATAATTTCAAGAGCAGCTCAAGCTGTTGCAAGACCGCCTGGGAAGCGAAGAAGAAACGTCTGAAATTAAAAATCAGACTGTTACCTTCCTTCTCAATCTTCTTGTATTATTGCGAATATTGAACTATCCTAGACATCTTCTACATAGACTGCATAAAAAAATGGAGCATAGTGAGACAGAACCAAACAAGAAACGTCAGTTGGAAGACATTATATCCAAAGTCAAGTCATCTTGCAAGTTTCCACCTTAGAAAAAAGAAGTGGCAGAGAAGAAAAAAAAGTAGTTTGATAACACAATTAAAGGGACCGGAAGATAATTCACAGAAACTTACAAACTGAAACGCTGTCGAAACATGTAGAGGGAGCTAGTCAAATGGTCAGCTGCGTAGCGCTCCAATGACCACACTCTCATAGGACTAATGATGAAGATGATAACGAGGAGGTAGGGGAGACTTCTGTAAGGATAACCAATTAAATTTCTTAGTACCACATAAAAACAAAACAGGCCATTATTTCGATTTTAAAAATGCCATCTCAGTAAACAATGAACAAAAACTATTATAAAGAAAATACCTAGAAGGAATATTAATAAATAATCAACGCACAATAAATCACCACCATAAACATTTCTTTATATCATCTCAGTTCATAGAACATATGCTTAAAGACTGCTAGATGCATATATTTGCAGATGATTATACATTTAAATCCCAACATTCATCCTTTTATACCGAGTTCTTAATAAACATTTAAACTGAGCTAACAATTCAAAATTAAAACATATACACAGATGCTATGAGTTATATCCGTGACACTCCACACCACCAATAGAAACAAAAGTAGAAATTAAAAATTGGAAAGCATTAATGACAGTATTTATATGACGTCTACGCAACCAATGAAAAACAAGAATTTAAAAATTGAAATATAATTCCGAATCATTACACTCCCAAAATTAATGATGAAGCTAAATGAATAGCAAAACATGTAAAATTTATATTAACTTCCCACTTCTTTTTTTATTCAGTCACGAACTCATTCCTTTTTTTGCCAGAGCACCCATCGACATATTTAATGTATTTAATAATTGATTTGCTTTTACGTATACCAATTAGATTTCTAAGTGTATGTTGAATGTTTAAAGAGCAGATCAAAGTCCAAACAAGAAAATAAATTTCTCAGTGAGTTAGTGACGAATATAAATGAAAATTTTCTGTCTATATTTCTGGGATGAGGTATTGTAATTATTTATATTATTTAAAATGTTTTGACAGTTTTCCTCGTCTTTGTTGCCATATTCACGACGTTTCTGCCGTTTTACGCTTTAGCCTTCTTCGGCTGATTGGAATTTAGAACCGAACCCTTATTTTGTCCACAAGGGGAAATAGAAAAATCAGGCGTTGCTCGCCATATATGGAGAGATAAAGGAGACCACTACCCCCACCCCTGTGGGATAAGGTGGAAATAATAGACACAGGACATCACTAGAAAATACGAAAACTTATGAAACTCAGTGCATATGCTAAGCCATAAAAATCTCCTAAGCAGGCTAAGTACAGACATGAATACAATATGAGAACCAGTAATACTGAATGTTAGAGAAAAACAATAATAGCAAAGTCTGTCTATATTTTTGAGATGAGGTTTTATGTACATTATTTACATTATTTGGACTATTGTCCTGATCTTTGTCGCCACATTTATTACAACGTTTCGGCCGTTGTACGCTCCGGCCTTCTTCAGGTGGTTGGAATGTCGAACTGAACCCTTTATTTCGCTCACTGGGGTAGACTGTTTTAGTTCCACCTGCCATGTTTGATGGATGTCATTTATCAGTTATCTCCTGCTAATTTCCCATCTGAAAGTTCTCCACTGCCTTAACCGGGTATTGAACTCACACTCTTTGGGACCTGTCACTGGATCTAACCAACGCCTTTATCCACTGTACCATGTGTAAGACACGTGGCACAGTGGATAAAGGCGTTGGTTAACAGGAGATAATTGATAACTGACATCCATCAAACATGGCACGTGGAACTAGAACAGTCTACCCCAGTGAGCGAAATAAAGGGTTCAGTTCGACATTCCAACCACCTGAAGAAGGCCGGAGCGTACAACAGCCGAAACGTTGTAATAAATATGGCGACAAAGATGAGGACAATAGTCCGAATAATGTAAATAATGCAATAACAGCAATTTGTAATATGAGCTCTGGTAAAAATGTTTACAGAGACATTAGGTATATAAATTCCCCAAAGTTCATACACCGATGTCCTCAATGACCCATGATCTTAGTGCATAAAAGCGTTGGTTCAAGTAATTCAGTGACTTGACCCAAAGTGTTGTGAGTTCATCTGGCCACAGCAGAGGTGAACATAAACTGGTAGAATTGAGTTAAAGGGAGATAACTGAAACTGAAATATCCGGAAGTGGCATAGCACGTAGAACTAGAAAAGTCTACCAATGGACGAGATAAAGGGTTCAGTTGAAAATTCCAATCACCTGAAGATGACCGGAACGTACAAGTTGCGAAACGTCGTGAATATGGCGACAAAGTCAAGGACAGTCAGTGCCATGCGTGATACACGCTTAGGCGATCATGTATTTTTCAATACATGACTGACGAGGCAAATTTTTCGCGCAGTAAGTTGCCGTTTCTTTCTGCAGTAGACTAGTTTCCATCTAAGGCTATAGAACGCTATTTGCCCATAGCTAGGGGGGAGAAGAAGAGGATTCATACCTTTTCCAAGGGTGTTAGAACGTAAGTGACTGTAATGGAATTCGAACTCGGCTCTCAGGTTCCTCAATGCGAGCCGCTATCCATTATAACACTGTGCTTAAGCGAAGGAAAACAGTCCAATAATTGTAAATAATGCACATTAACATAATTTTCGTAAATTATTTGAACCACGACGGTGCAATTCTGAAACATTTGTTTATTTGTTTAACGGCATATCAACAACTTATGGGTCATTTAATGCCGAAATTCTGAAGCGTGTCCGTTTGTAATATAAATAGTGATGGAGGAAAACAAATTCGAAAAAATGCGTCGAGCGCTTCATACATAAACACTATAAACAGAAAGAGAATTTAATTTTAACCAACCAGCGATACTATGCACATTCAATTTCCTAAATAAATCAATAAAGATAATTAAAAAATGACAACAACAACAACAACAACAACTACTACTACTACTACTACTACTACTACTATTACTTCTACTAATACTAGAACTATGTAAACACTGAAAAGTGGTAATATATGAATTAAAGATTATATGCAAAATGAAAACAAAACTAAGTTGGAAACGTATGTTATAATCGTAAAGAAGATGAAATGAATAAATGATTTAATACCTGTGATGGCAAACATCGCGAATAAAATATCTAATATCAGCGCAGAACTTGACAGGTAGTTTAATGATATTAAACAGTGTTCTGTTTATTAATAAAGTACACAGGTCGATATTTTGGGCGTGGTTGTAATGCGTCATTTGCGAACAGTTTACAGATTCATGATTTTGCTGTGAAAAACTCACAAATGAAAAGATAAAGAAGTGGAATGAAAGAAAAAGATAATATAGAAAAAACTATACAAGGGAGGATAATAAAAGAAAGATTATCTTGATTCACTCAGAGATGTAAAATAATGCAAGAATGAAAGGACTGAAAATAAAGAAAGTCACTGGTAAAGAACGAGGCTACGTTTTGTATACGCTAAAAGTGAATTTTTACTAAGGTATTCAAAAACAGATCAAGAGATGAGCTAGAAATTGGAGACACCAAAATAAAATGGGTACAGAAAGGAGATATATTTGAACAGACGACAGAAAATTCGAATCGAAATCCGAAGGCACATTGGAATGGTAAAGGTAGCCTTTCAAAAGCTAAAAAAAGTATTAAGAAACAAGAAAAAATCGTTAGGAACAAAGAAAAGGATGCTGAACTGCTATATCATGTCCATCTTCGTATATGACAGCGATTTCTGGATAATTCACTGACAGATGAATATATTTCAAGATTCTATGGAAGAATACTGTGGTTACAATAGGCGAGAAAAATTTAAGGAAAATGAAAATAAAATGGAGAATTATAGTTGGAGTCAGAAAGAGAGGGTCGAAAATTTTGGGACAAAATGAGAAAAAAGTGGTTTGAAAATTTGATACTCAGAATATATTTGAGGCAAGACAGGTAGAAGAAAATGAGCTTGTGTAAAGAGATGACAGAAGAGAGACCGAGAGCATGTGTAAAGGGATGACAGAAGAGACATTGAGAGCTTGTGTAAAGAGATAACAGAAAAGATACTGAGATATTGTGTAAAAAGTTGACAGAAGAGACACTGAGAGCTTGCGTAAAGAGATGACAGAAAAGAGACTGAGAGCTTGTGTAAAGAAATGACTGAAGAGACACTGGGAGCTTGTGTAAACGAGATGACAGAAAAGACACTGAGATGTTGTTCAATGAGTTGACAGAAAAGAGACTGAGATGTTGTGTAAAGAGATGACAGAAAAGAGACTGAGATGTCGTGTAAAGAGATGACAGAAGAGACACTGAGAGCTTGTGCAAAGAGATGACAGAAAAGAGACTGAGATGTTCTGTGAAGAGATGACAGAAGAGACACCGAGAGCTTGTGTAAAGAAATGACAGAAGAGACACTGGGATCTTGTGTCAAAAGATGACAGAAAAGAGACTGAGATGTTGTGTAATGAGATGACAGAAAAAACTTTTAATTTTTTTCTTGCTTCAGACACAGAAAAGTGAATATCTGAACAGTACTACGAAAAGGAAAAGCGAGAAGACAGAACGTGTGGTTGTCACCAAAATGAACAGCCTATTGTGCAAATTGCAAATTAGAGACAGCAAAATCAAGCAAGTACAAAAAATGAAATATTTGGAAAGTGTTATAACAGAGGAAGGAAAATACAACGCCGAAATACGAAGGCGCTTTGGGATAGCGAAAAATGCTTTCCAAAAGCGAAGCAAAGTATTAAGTAAAAGGAAAAATTTCACTGAAGTATTATGTAATATTGGTCCATCTATATGACATTGTCTACTGAGCAATCATCTCAAAGATGATGAAGAGACTTGAGTTGAGGCAACAGAAATGTGGTTCTACAGAAAGATGCCGATAATACCATGTACTAAGCATGAGAGCGACGAAAATGTTTTAAGGAAAACTTATACTTAGATAGCCTTGAAATTTCTAAGTGATATAATAAGGAAAGACGGTTTGGAATATAGGACACTCATAGGACATATTGAAGACAAACACAAGTTTGTTAGCAAATGGTTGACAGAAAATGATTGAGAGAGAGAGAGAGAGAGAGAGAGAGAGAGAGAGAGAGAGAGAGGAGAGTGAGAGTGAGTGCAAAATGAAAAACTTTACTAGGAGCTACAAAGACAGATAATTGTGGAGAGCCATGATTACCTACGTTCTGAAGTGACATGGCATATAGAAGAAGAAGAAGAAGAAGAAGAAGAAGAAGAAGAAGAAGAAGAAGAAGAAGAATATGCTTGAAGTAGATTTCATCAAACATAGCATGGAATGACAGAAAATCAGAAAATAATATCTGGGAAGAATAAAGAAAAATTTATAAACTAGGTTCCACAATAGAACGATGATCAAAAGGATAAATATATAGGCAATATCTACTGCGAGATATTCCGAGCAAGACTTGGACGAAAGAATGCCTAGGTATTTAGATAAATGAACAGGGAAATTAATGGAAATGCACAAGGCACTGTGAAGATGATGTTGATAAATTGTATGTGAAAAAAGAAAGAGGAAGTCATTAGTATTGAGGATTTGTTGAGTCAGTTATCAAAGGAAGTTTTAAGGGACAAATCAATGCAAGTGCAGATAAAATGTCATGGACAGAGAAATAAAATGAGTCACTATTGATGGTGTCTAACAATGATTCACTGAAAACAAATGATCTATTTTAAGACTAAGGTAAGTTGCACAGAGAAAATTTGTAAATGATTACGTGTAAATGGTAATTTGAAGAGAAATGTATTAATCAGCGATAATGATTACCAGAAACTGGGTGAGAATAGGAAAATGCATGAAATGTGCTAATTATTATGATAAAAATAAAAAAAAAATTCTATGGAGAAGTTAGGTTTTATGTCATGTTTTTGTTATATTTACCGAGTCGGGGATGAAATTATTTTCACCACCTTTTCTAGCAAGGAGGAACCCGGCAGAATTAAAAAAACAAGACTCATTAAAGGGTGAATGAATTTTTTTATAAATTCAACGGCCATCTATTACAATCGGGTACACTGAGATCCATAGCTATGTATGCAGCCAAGGCGTTGTTGATACGGAATCGCTCCCGATCGAATCATTGGCCACGAATCCGAGACAAGGAGAGCCTTCAATTTGAAGGACATTGAGGGATTTTTCCCAAAAGACACTATGCATGAATGAATACCTCTCCGGCATTCAACACATATATATATATATATATATATGTGAAAGGGGCTAATCATGGGCGACCACACACAGTCATGTCCAGGAAATAAATAATATTGCATAATGAACATTGCATAATGTATGAGAATGTATAAAACTAGCAGAAAGTGTAATAGAACAATTACAATAGTGAAAATAGACAGACCCAAAACTGTCCTGGGTAAGACGATAAACAACATCCGCGTCCTGGGTAAGACGATGAACTACATCCACGTCCCAGATAAGATCATAAACATCCAACAGCAAGGCCTTTGATTAGGAGGTTTTGACGAGCATAGAATCACCTCTAAATTGCTGATGTTCCCAGATCCACTCTGATCCGGTTAGGTGACACCTGTCAGGATCCCAGCTATGGGAAAATAGTTACCCCCCCCAGCTCAAAACATTATGAAAGTGCAAAAATAGGTTTTAGTACCAGCAATTTTTATTTTTTGAAAATTATCACCAGTAGCACATTTTTGAAAAAGAAAAAATATTACTAGCAATACATTTTTGGAAAAAAAATTATTACCAGCAATACAATTTTGGAAAAAAAAAATTAGCAGCAATAAAAATCTTGTCGTCATTAAATTACCCATTAAGGTTGGTATGACGTAAAAAAAACCCAAAAATAAACAAAACAAACAAGACCCAACAGAATAGGAACTGTCATCAGCGCGAAGGAAAATAACTTCAAAATAATCTCAGAAAAATGGATATTCTTATACTGGAACGGAAAGTCAGTTGTGTTCGACAATACAGGCAAATAATATGAGTAGAAATCGGAAGGAAATTCAGGAAATAAAAAAAATAAAATTCTTTGTGATTTTAAAATTTAAACAATCACATCATTTTGGCGAAATGCAGTCTTAATAAACAATGACAATAAAATATGTTTCTTCAAACAAGAGAGGGCGAAACGAAAATAGTCAGTTATGTCATCGAACGAAAAAAATGTGGACCATGAAAGTGAAAACTGAAACTTCATCATTATAAAAAAAATAAATAGATAAATAAAAATAAAATAAAATGGAGAATTGGGAATCCGAATAAAAGAAATTATTCCAACTTTACCATTATTGAAATCGACAAGAATAGTGAGAAGTGTGCTGAAATATTAAGGAGACTTGCTGTCATTTGAGTTCCATTGAGATCGACTTATTGATATGAAGATTTCTTAAACATATTCATTAACAATATTTACTATTTAAATTCTTTCTCTGTTCTTTGGTCTTATCAGACAATTTATCTTCTCTTCTTTCATTTAGAAATATAGAGCCATCTATTCTATGACCTTCTTTATTTTCCTTTTGCAATTTCTTTTTGAGAGTCTCCTCCTTCGATATTTTTTTTGGTTTTTTTTCTCTGTTGCTCATTTTTGCCTTTTATTCACATTATTTTCTGAAGTTGTTTTTCTTTATTTCTTTTTATTGTACGTGACAAGAGATTTTATTATTTTATTAAAATAAATTTAACCAATTAATTGAAGAAAATAAATAGATAGATAATTAGAATTAAATTTAATTATTGTAAATTAAGTATATTAACCTTTTAATTTAATCCATCAATATAAATAAAATTAGTTAAAAAAATTAACGAAAAATTTGTTATACGTATATCGAGCAGGTTTCACTCTATAATCTCCATCGGGATTAAAATATTGATGACCTATTTCGAACAGTATCGCTCATTCGTTATACAGGGTGCGATGGATAAATTGTTGTCTAAATTATGGCATATACGCCATGTTTATGGACAATTATTATTTTAATTTTGCAGATACATCCATTTAAAAGTTAACCTGTAATAATGGATTCAATTTTCCCACCTTTCTTCCTCTTATTCTTTAAAAAGGCCAGAGTAGCTGTTGGCGTTTTAATTGGGAGGGGGAATCAGGGATTGATTGGGTCCCCGAAACTCCCTGATGAACCAAATCAAAACATCACTGACGACCCCTTGTCTCCTACTTAAAAGCGTATTTTCAATGATGGTGGTGTAATTGATAACGGCTGAGATTATTTTGGCTCGAGTTTCATTACATTCACTTTCGGAAGGTGTGAATCCATCTCTCTTCCCAGTTATGGATTAATTAGTAGCCATTTCGTCCTGTTTGGCAACCAGTTTTAAAGGACATTGGCTCCTATTGAATCTGTGGTCGTTTCCCAAAACATATGTCGTTTAATCTTTATATTATATATATTTTTAATCAATACAAAGACAGTTTTGCATTAAATTTTTTCAGATCAAACTTGACTGGGAAGAAAAGTACCACAAGAGAGATGTTCGACAGAAGAAAATGTTAGCATGAATCTACGGTTATATCTCGTCATTACTAAAATGATGAGACCTTACTAATCTAGTACTGCGTTTAAACAGTTGCCGATGGTTCAAAGGAGCAATACAGTTTGGTACCAGTGGAGTTGCCACAAAGTCCATCCGGCTTGGGGCTCCACGCCGGGTTTGAATTCAGAGTTGTCCTTCTAGACCAATTGACATCCAAGGCTATAGAACCCAGTTGGAAGAAGAGGATTCACACCTTTCCCAAGGGTATTAGTACGTAAGTGAATGTAATGGATTCGACATGACTTCGAACTCGACTCTCCGATTCCCTCAATCCAAGCTGCTATCCATTACTCCACTGTGACGCCTATATTACGGATGTAGAAATATGACTACAGTTGAGATGATAGGTCAGGACCAATAACATTGCAGGTTCTTTCGATTTTTTTCAATAATCTCTAAATATATAGCGGTAGCTCTAGATCAGATGTGGCAACAATATTCAAAGCAAGGACGAATGGTAGACTTTTGAATATGTACAATAGATTCTGTAGAGAAAAATTATTTTTTAAATTAAAAACATAATCATCTATATCTGTAGTATTTTACACCCCCCCCACACACTCCTCTCTTTTGTTCTTTTATTCTTCCCTCCCCATTATTCTCAAGTTTTTCTTCTATGAATGGCAATTTACGGTCTCGATGAATATTATCTTCCGTTTTGGATAAACAATTTTATCCAAAAAAATTTAACTCCTCAAATAACTGATTCCTTTTTCCCTACAATTAACAATCAGAATCCAAATTTTTCTAAATTTTTCTAAATTCATCTTTAGAGTGAAGGAATAAATGGGTTAATCTTCCGTAAATGGTAATGGTAATGGAAACATTAACCGTTTCCTTATAAGGAAACAGTCAGTATTCATTTTCTATCGGTGGAAATGTATAGATCTTTCTAGTATTTTCATTTCCTGGTAAAATTGGTATGCACAGTGAAATATAAATTGAAATATTTACATCTCATTTTGGAAGAAATCATCAATGGACACTCTAACCAAAAATCCCACAAATAAAACATATGTTAAAATAGTTAAAATAATATTAACTTAATTCGCTTCTGAAGAAAGAAAATTAAAACGGTCGGATGTTACAAATTGGCTAATAACTGTTGTAGCAGTAATTCATGGGTTGGAAGATTCTACACCGGCCAATTCTGTCCCAGCTCTGTAGTCGCTGCCTGGGAATTCAACTTGCATAAAGCGGACACATGAACACCTGGTATATCAAAATATAGGGTTTTCTATTTTCTTTTAGGAAGAGATAGAGAGAGAAAGGGTAAGAAAGAGATGGGATAGATAGATAGATAGATAGATAGAGAGAGAGAGAGAGAGAGAGAGAGAAAGAGAAAGAGAGAGAGTGAGAGAGCCATGGATGGTTTACAGTTTCAAATGTTTTCTAAGAAAAAGAAAGAATTTGGCGTAAGAAATACAGCGGCGTGAGTGCATGGTCGGGACGTGGAAGACAACTTCCTAGATTGATTTCGCGAAATACTGGAATCGAATTGGGAGGAAAACCGTGAAAACGAGTTCATGAGAAGTGATGAGAAAATAAATTTGAGGATAATATTTAAACCGATGGTCATATTATTTAAAGCTGAAAATTGGTTTGAAAAGCATCCAGGTACCAGTTGAAAGAAAATGCCAAAATTTGGTTTGACAAGCATCCGTGTACCCGGTGAAATGATATACTAATAAGAATATGATTTTTAAATTTAAAAGTTTGAAAACAATTTAGAATCATATATTGAAAGAAAAGGCTATATTAAATCACATAGAACACAAACCTATAGGATAGATCACGCTAAAATGAGTTGACAACCATGTGAAAAGCAAAAGATAAAAGCTTTAGGATTCATAATTCAATGTCTCTGAAAAGTTGAGGAGACAGAATCTGTATCATGTGATAATGCTTCATTTCTTTTTCTTAAAATTCCAATAAATTCAGTTAGTGATTTGGCTAGTTATGTTTCATTTCTCGGAGGAGTCCAGGTCGCTTGAGATGAGACGCTGGTGTTCGGCCAGTAGATACAATTCTGTCCAGAAGACGTCGGGGCGCAAAAGAGCCTATTGAATGTTAAGCCACATTTCTCTTTTATCCCATCGCTAAATCTATCAGATTCTAACAGATTGAAAATACTCTTTTTTTTCAACAGATTAAAGATCTGATTATAGCATCAAGGCATTATTTTTGCCTCTTTCATCTTTGTATCGATAATGAACACCCAGAAGACGGAGAAGAATCATGAAGTATCAGGGAAGAAGCAAATAGCTGAAACTTCATTTTTTTTTTTGCTTACGCGTACAAATATTTGTGTAGTGTTTTAACAGAGAACAGAAAGTGTAACACACAAATCTTAAGTAGCATTGGTATAGAGAATGATGTGTTCCAAAAGCTAAGCAAAATATTAAGAAATTGGAAAGTTTCGTTAGAAACAAACAAAAAAGTACTGGACTGTTGCGTAATCTCAGTCCTCCTATATGACAGTGAATGCTGGACAATCTCTTAACAGATGAAAAAGAGACTTGACGTAACAGAAATATAGTCCTACAGAAGGATGCTGAAAATACTATGGACCGAACATGCGAGCAACGACAAAAGTTTTGAGAAAACGGAAACAAAAGGAACATTTATGCTTAACATTTGAAAGAGAGTTGGAAATTCTCAGTCACATAATGAGGAAAGATGGCTTGGGAAATTTGATACTCAAAGGAGATATTGAAAGTAAGAGAGTCAGACGAAAACAACATACAACTTACCTAGTGAGGTCGAGTAAATGGATGCCGGAACAAGGTTTAGGAGAGATAACAAAAGAAAAAAAATATAAAGTGCTACAAAAGACAGAAAACTGAGGAGAGCCATGATTGCCAACGTCCTGAAGGGACACGGCACATAGAAGAAGAATTATAGACTTTGCTTTTACTCCGCTACGTTTAATATAAAACAAATGTTACCCAACGTGGAGAGTATTGAAACCTTCATTGTAAAATCTTTAAACACAACTGCAGCACTTAGTGATCGCGAGGAGTACTGCAACCATGACAGCGGTAGTGTGGCTAGGGCAGAATAGCATTACGTTGCATTTCCCTCTTCTGCCTGGTTTTGAATATAGAATTTCCTTCTTCAATCAGCTCTACTATTTTAAACTACCATTTAACCCATAGCTTGCAGAGAATGACTTGATTCAGGTCTTTCTAAAGGGTATTTGTATGAAAGTGAAGTCACTGATTTCTCTTTTCGGGCCGCGAATACTATCCGCACGTCCTATGAGGTGCACACCCCTCTTTAAGTAGTTAGAACGCTCAGGGCATTGTTAAGATTGGCCTTTAACTTAGACATATGGATCACTCTGTACAAGGTCCAAGAGCTCCTTGAGGTAGAGGGTTACCGACTAAGAGGCACCATCTCAAGCAAAGTGATAATGCTCCAAAGACGCACGGGGCTACCGGAAGTGAAAGTGAAGCAAAAGATTTTAGACGGCACCCAATCCTAAACAAGAAACCAGGGATAAATCTTTACTTTCTTCAAAAGACCGAGGAAGAGTGTGAACTGAACGATAGCAAATCTATCTACTCTTATCGAGGAAAAATGTAAATAAATAGTAAATAATAATTCGTAGTTTTAGGCGAAGACTTTAGGAGTATAGATTTGAAGTAGACTTTAAAAGGAACCGGAAATCCAATCCTATACAGGAAACAAAGGATAATAATAATAATAATAATAATAATAATAATAATACCACAAAAAAGTGCCTCCTTATTGATATGGCAGTCCCTGCTGACTGCAATTTATCTTTGAAGATATTCAAAAAGCTGTCAAAATACAAGCACCTTGAAATAGAAATCTCAAAAATGTGGCATATGGGAACATCAACAATCCCTGTTGTAGTTGAAGCCCTAGGACTGGTTGGAAAAGATCGCAGTAGACTAATTGAAGGGATTCCTGGAAGTCCATGCCTCAAAGAGATACAAAAAATTGTTCTGACAAGTACAGCCCACACTTTACGAAGGGCTTTATCTATGTAATATTTTCTTTTTTTGTCAGTAGAGAGTGTCATGATGCCATTTCTAACCTTAGGTTCCTGGGCGGGACCTGGAAAGAAATTTGTAAACGCCAGAAATCAAAGAAAATAATAATAATAATAATAATAAATAGAAATGTTCCCGTACTGAGATACTCTATATAAGGGGTGCTAAAAGCTGTCAACCTGATCGAATTCTCCAAATTTTTCTAAATAAACAAATATCAGAAATTTTGAAAGTGTTAAAGAAACAGACCGATACATTTTCAGCACCTCCTTGTGGTTGTATAGATTTAAATGTGTAGTACTTGGAAATAGATGATCGCATACTTTATAATCAAACTATTTAGCAGGTCTGCTACATTGCAAATTCTGACTGAGGTTTTTTTAAGTGTTCTCGGAAGACTATTCCAATTTTGTTTCTCAGCTGATATGCATTGGGGAAAGTGAAAAGTCTACATCAGAAAATAGATTTAAATTCATTTAACGACTACAACTCACTTTATAACTATCGTAAAGATAAGTGAAAAATATCCCTTGATAAATTACAAGTGAATTGAGGTAAAGGACACTTTACGCAATTTAGAGAGCAATTTTGTCAAAATTAATCGAGCAAAGCCAATCGAAAAGAAAATAACCTACTAAACTTATTTATTATATTATGTTATACTAGTCTGCCTTGGCTATGAAGACTTTTATTAGATTCAAGAAAATAACTTTTACAAGTCTGGGTAGATGTGGAATAAAATAACCTTGTTTGAAGGACGCTTGACAAGGAAATCTCGTTTGCTTAAGGAAATCTCGCCGAGAAATTTCCACAAGTACAGAGTTCAATCCTCACAAGTTTCACTAATTCAGTATTCTTGTCTAAATTAGGATCAGGTAAGTAAAATAGTGTTTAAAAGGCCAAAATCATCGATGGTAGCAATGATCGATTTGATGTCCGAGTAAAGTCAACATACTAAATGCAAATTTTTGAGCAGGCATCCTTTCTCAGTTTCTCTTTACATGGTAATAAACCGTTTCCCTATAAAGAAACAATCGGGATTCATTGACCAAGCAGACAATGTCACCACTTGAAATTTATAAAAGCTTTCTATTAAAAGAATTTTTCAGGAAAATAGGTTTCTCATGTCCACTAACTATTATCGTTCTTTCAAATATTGGTAGTTGCTTCCTTTCTAACATAATTTAAGATAATTTTATTTCTGTATCTGTCTATATTTCTGAGACATTATGTACCCTATTTACATTATTCGGACTATTGTCCTCATCTTTGTCGCCGTATTTATTACAACGTTTCGGCCGTTGTACGCTCCGGCCTTCTTCAGGTGGTTGGAATGTCGAACTGAACCCTTTATTTCGCTATTCTAGTTCCACGTGGCAATCTTAATGGATGTCAGTTATCAGTTATCTCCTGCTTAGTTCCCTCTCCAAGTTCTCCACCGCCTTAACCAGGTATTGAACTCACACTATTTTGGGTCCTCTAACTGGATCTAACTAACGCCTTTATCCACTGTGTCATGTGTCCTTGATGACATCTATGTTTGAATTTTGGGGTCTTATAAACCTAATGTCTTCAGCAATTATTTTTTACCAGTGCTCATATTGCAATTTTTGCTGTTATTATTATATGCTTTTACCAGAGCGCATATTGTAATTTTTGTTTTTATTAACGCTTTTCTCTTGCACTCCTTATTACTGGTTCCCATATCGTATTCATTTCTTTGCTTGGTCGGCTCAGGAGATTTTTGTGGCTTGTTTCTTTATGAACAACAGGGTTTGGAAAATTATTGTTCATAAGTTTTTTTATGTTGCTTAATTCTTTATAAAAATAATTTGACCGAAAAAGAAATTATTTCTGTAAGGTTACTTATATTTTTCTAACTTCTAATTTATATATGTGAAGGCAGTTGCTTTTATAATTAAGAAGAAACCAGTTTTTTCTTGTGTTTTTTATATCTTCTATGTGCCATTCCCTTCAGGACGTAGGTGATTATGGCTCTCTACAATTTCCTGTCATTTATAGCTCTTAGTAAATTTTGTATATTTATTATGTCTTATAAGCCTTGACACGGCGTCTATATGCTAGATAGGATATACGTTGATTTCCTCTATCACTCTTACCTTCAAACTGTTTATGGGTATCAAATTTCCCAAGCTCCATTTTCTCATTATGTGCCCCAGAATTTCCAGCTTCGTCATTGCTCATGTGCTCGATCTATTATATCCTCAGCATCCTTCTGTAGAAGCACGCTTCTGCTGCTTCAAGTCCCTTCTTCATTTTTGAGGAGATTGTCCAGAATTCACTAGTGAATTGATAAAATCACATCTACCAGGATGTCAAAGAAAATGGCTGATTTTATTAGTGTAGAGTTCATAAGCGAATTGTTGGATGAAGTTATCTTCAAATGTTTCTTTCATCTATGTTTGCCGTCAATATGAAAATGTCGTCAATATCTATTTTTATATGCATATATAGTGGTGATTTAAATCAAGATGCGGTGTAGACA